CGCTTAAATGTTGGTTGTCCCTGCCTGCTCTTTAATCCCGACCCATAAGCTCTCGGTCAGCTTCTCTTCCATCCCCAGGCCGAGCTCCATGCACTCCAGCTGGGCATTGACAGACAGGATGACACCCCTTCCTCGTCCCCCCACCGGTCCTTCCAAAAGAGCCTGTGTCCTTCCATTCCAACCCTCCAGTCGTAGGAGCTGGGGGGGTTAAAAAAACCCCACCACATCTGGAAAATTGAGGCAGATTTCCAGCACATATTGGCAAGCTGACTTTGTAATTTTTTTAAAAAAAATATTATTTAAAGAAAACAAAACCCAAAGGTTTGCTCGGTGCAAAGTTCCAGACTGGAGAGCTGTTTTTAGGAAAAACGTGCTCTTGGGCCATGAACTTGGTAATGACTGGGCTGATCGCTGTGTTTTAGTGCCTTGTTTCACTCTCTCTGCTCACCCTCACTTCATTCCTTCTCCTCCATCTTAGTTCTGACCACACCTGGAGAGAGGTGTCCGGTTCTGACACGCGCTGAGCTGGGAACATGGTGTTTCGGGGATGAAAACTAAAATTTTCTTTACATTGCCAGCAGTTACTGTGGGTAAAACCCCTTCAGGAATGTGATACTACTCATCCCCAGCTGCTGCCACGCTGCTTTGGTGACAAATCCTGTTCCAAAAAGTTGTGGACAGAAATACGGGTTTAGTAGCATCCGTATCCATAAGATGGTACATCTGCTCATCTCCTGTTCCTCAGCTGAAGCCTCCTATGGCCATCATGGAGCTTAATAAGTGACTGACGAAATGGCTGCTGGACTTACTGCTACGTCTTAACAGCAGTATGGATTTGGTGCCGATGAAAATAAAGATTAGTAGCACCAAGGTGTGGTGTGGAGGTGGACTGGGCCAGGAGAAGTGTTTCACGTTGAGCATACAAGGAAACAGAGCTGCCTTCTGGGCACTGGGTGCCTTGGGAATTCTGCCCCTCACTTTGAAGGGCATTAAATCAGATATAGGGCATGCATGAGCCTTTGAAAAGAGGTGGCAAGTTGTGAGCAAGTCCAAAAGGAGATGAGTTTTCCCGTGGCACTCCCGCGTTTATAGATTTTTTTTTTTTTTTGGTGAAGTTATGTTTATGCCTGTCTCTTCTTGTTTCCTCTTTAGTGGTTGAATCAGAGCCACAATGCCTGCGTCAACTATGCAAACCGCAACGCGACAAAGGTGAGGAGACCCAACATATGCAGCGCGTGCAGCGCGTTAGGTCTGTTTTGACATGGAAACGTAAGTCTTGTCTCTTTGCTGTTAATAGAAACTCCAGAGTTGGAACTGTGATGAATTTATAGATTGGCCATTCTCCTGTATAGACTTCCATTTTAAACCTCAGCTGTAAATGGCATGAGGATCTTGAAGTCACTCAAGGCACAGAAGTAACGCTCAGTGCCTTTGAACTGAACCATTGTATAGTTCTAACTGGTATGAAATGGTTTAATTTGGTATGTAAATGAGCACAAAGCAAAATGGTGTCTGGGTTTTTGGATAGAAGGCGGCTGCTGTCTCCCGAGGACTTTATATGCATTAACAGCAATGGTACTGGGAAGTGGTGGGGCTGTTCCTGCTCTCTTCTGTCACTTGAGCCTTCATGCATCCCATGTCAGGATGTGGGAAGCTCAAGTCCGGAAGCTGAGTTGGAAACCATCCAGCTCATTGAGATAACATTTCAGAGATAAATATTTAATGTGGAGAGTTTGGAGTTCATCACTAGTGTATAGGAATGCTAATTTTGTACCATTCGCTGAATTCCATTCGCATCCTTCCTTTGAGCTGCTATTATTATAATTTTCTGATGCCAATTAATTTTCCATTCCCTTTAACCTTGCTCATGAGGCTACGATTTTCCTTGCTTTTGCCGCTGCTAGATGACAGACCATGTGTCACAGAACAATATGACAAAATTAAACCTGTCTCTGGTTTAAAACAAATAAAACCAAAACAAACAAAAAAGCTTGGTTGCATTTTAATAACCAGAAGATTGTTTATTGAAAATATGTTTTGTTTTTCTTTCCAAAGCCTTCTCCGACGTCCAAGTTCATCCAGGGCTACTTGGGAGCTGTCATAAGTGCTGTCTCAATAGCAGTGGGTAACGCTTTATATCTCTGTATTTTACTACTAAGTAACTGCTCCCTTACAGTAGTACTGCAGTGCTTTTGAGATGTTTGTTTCAATTGCCAAGCATGTTTATCTTCTAATTGACAGAATTTAGTCTACATAACCAAAAAATATTTTAACCGTGAGGTGTTTCTGTCCACGCATGCCCAAACTTTTCAACAGAAGGGGACTTCTACCGCTGATGGCTTCCAGCATGTCCTGCACCGTGCACTGCCTGGGTCCCTGCACCGTGGCTTTATGGCTGGGTGAACTCAAATTATCCATACATGCATTAACTGGTGGTGAATTAGCCTAGTCCAAGTTAAAAGAGTGTCTTTGAGGCTGCAGAGCGATGGTGTGACAGCTGCCATGCTGAACAGAGACAGGCTTTTGGAGATGCTCTCCCGGTGGGTCAGCACCTTGAATTGAAAGAACCACAGTGCTCGAAATGACATCTTTCACTTGTGAAAGGCATTCAAGCTGGAAACCGTGTTCAAGTCATCTCTGAAGTAATCTGTAAGAGAGGAGCTTTTAACATTGCTAAAGTCATGGTCTCGTGGTGCAGTCATCAGGCTTTTAATACTGAGATTCCCCAGAAGGACAAGTTGACATCTGTAGCAGGGGCAGCTAATTCCCAAGGAGGCAGGAACAGTTTTCAGGCGCAACTTATAGAAGTTTTTTCTTACGCTGGGTTTCAAATAAGCCTCTGAAACCTATGGTTGTACCTTTTCTGCTGGAACATTAAAGATCCCACAACAGTTTGTATTTTTTCCCTCTGGCCAAGACTTTTTTCCTTTTTCTCAAGCCACAGACATCCTTTTCCAGGCATTTTTTCTGCAAAGAGACTGTGCCGTGGGAGGAGGTCAGCACTCAGCCTGCTCACCACACCGTTTGTACCCAGGTTCCCCTATTCACCTTTGGAGAAATAACTGCATGGGCTTGGTTAGATTTCTTTACAAGGTAAAAGGTTTGTCTAGAGCAGACTGGGGATCATTACGAGAGCTGTGGAGGCGGGAGCTCCTACCTGGGAACTGACAGTGCGCGGTTTGACACATCGTGTCCACAGTGGACAGCAGAAAATCTGCGGAGGCATATCTTCATAGTTCTGCTTGATAGTTTTCTGTATTGCTGGCTTGGCTTGCTCACTGGTTGCCGTACTGCTCCTCTGTATCACCTGTATTATCCCTTCACTGCAGAATTAACCCAGACTGTGCACACAGACCAGCCTTGCGTTGGTGTCATCTCCCACGCTTCATAACTCCAGGAAGATGTGTCCACACCAACTCCACGCTTTTGCAGTTGAAGTACAATCTAAGTCGCCATCCCACCAACCTCAGTGCTTCAGTTAGCAGCCATTCTGTGTTGAGTATTTCCTGGTGTAGCATGGGAGAGCTTGACTGTCCTCCTCAGTCCTTAGTTCAGAATTTTTTCCACCTCATGAATTAGTAAAGCGAAGCTCTCCAGCTTGATGTGCTGCTACCGCTCACAACCTGCCTTCCAACCCCCAGCGCAGCTGCAGCAGAGGGATGATGACTGGTTTCACGTTGTTGGCATTAATGCTCCTCTCCATTTTGGCAACAGGGGCAGATAGAGAGCAGGAGACACGGAGAAGTGATATTGGCAGAGTTTTGTCACCCCGAGAAGCTGACAGGCTTTGGTAAGGAAATCACTTGGGCGGTGAGCGGAGATGTCTGTGTTGGGACAGCAGACGCCGGTCTTTAAAAGCTCTGGTTCCTCCTAGGCTGACTGCAAAGGGGCTGAAGCAGAAAGATAGGTTCAGAGTGCAGAAGTGACCATCAGTGGTGCTGTGAGGAACAGTCGTTCTCTGAAGCAGCATGGAAAACTCCACCAAGGCTTGTAGATAAAAGAAATTGCAGCAAACCAGCAGAGACCTGCTGTTACTGCAGCGTGGCTGTCACTGCTGGTGACACGTGGGTGGCTCATCAGTCTGCTGATGGTAAATCAGCTCTTCATCTCATGGTGGTTTGTATGTCCATTAGTTGTACTGTTTACTCCCTCGTGGTGAAGAAGCTGATGGTCTGTACAGAGCAGTGAGCTTTGAATAAATGCAGAAACTGAAACGGTGCTGGGATTGATCTGTCCACATAATTTGTAGGTGCGTCTCCAGCAGGAGCCCCAGCGTCTAGTTGTCTTGCACACCTTGGCTGTCCATCACGGGAGAACTTTAAAAGCACTGCAAGAGAAGACAAAGCTGCAGTATTCTATGCTTAGAGCATTTCAAGCTTGTGCAAGAGGAGATCTTCCTTCAGCGGTGTGGTTGCTGAGAGGGTGTTTGCACCTTCTTGTGTAAGTGCCGTGATGGCCTCACCAGACTGAGCTTCCACTGGGATGCCTTTAGCATGGGTGAAGAGTACTGTGAGCTCTGTATTAGCAGTGCTTTTGTAGCTGTGGTGCTCTGAGGGTCAGAATATTGTTATGGGAAGGCAGGAGCTTTTCTTGGATCCATCGATGTAGTTAGGGGAGCGGGGAAGGGCAGCAGCCTTCATGGATACTTTCTCCTTCCTGATGTTGGAAGGAGGTCTTCTTCCAAGTGGAGCATGCTATGGCACATAGGGTGTGTGAAAATGAGATGAAGTCGCTCTGCATTGATGTCCCTGTAGTGTTCCCCATAGATGGGCTGCTGGGGCCACTACTGATGTGTGTGTTACCGCAGAATAGCTTGTGTCCTGATAATCCGTAGCAGCGCTTATTGCGTGCTCGATTCCCAATGCAGAGCAACCTAGAGAAAATCCTGCAGAGCTGGGAGTGATTTTTATGTTGTAAATATCTGGATTAATAACCAACATCTCCTTGAGCGTTTTGGTTTGGTTTTTGTTTTTTAAATGATGATGACAAATAATATAGAAATAGCCCCAAGGTTCGTTACGTTGGATTGTAGGGCCTCAGCCCTCATTAACTGATCTCTGCTGTCAGTTAGCAGCAAATCACCTCCCAGTGTGAGCCTATTAGGACCAGATGACCTGAAAACAAGTGCCACTGCCTCCAGTGGTCTGCTGAGACCCAGTATTAATTAAAGTGAGCCCCTTCCATGTTTGCAGTTGGCAAGCGACGCAGGGAGAAGGCTCACAAAATGACAGATCAGTTGACTTGTGATTGTGCTTCCCATCGTCTTCACCCTCTGTGTCTTTATCTAACGAGAGGGACAAACAAATTGCTTTCTCACGCGTACGGAAGAGCAGATTTTGGCTTTACGCTTCTTGCAATTAAACTAGAAATCTTAGCAAATCTTTGCAAATAACCTGATTATTTTCCCATTTTAGAGAGAGAGGAATTGCAGTCAGAGAGAGGCGATGCTTCTCTGTTAGATCCAGTGCCACATCTGGGACTCCTGATTTTCAGCCCTTCAGGATGAATTTTTGCAAAAATCGATATTCTTTTTTTCTATATTTTTCAATATTTCAATTTTTGTCCCCTCAGTATTTCTTTTTTTCCCACCTACTCCCAGCCCAACCCAATTCACAGCATAGCTTCATGCAAGGAAAGGTGTGCCAGGTCCAGAATTTCATCTCTTCTCCCATGCAGTACTCAGGTGAAGCAATCACTTGAAACAAGGCTAGAAAAGACATCAGAAGGGATAATGGTAAGACTGAGTGCGGGAAAGGAGGTGAAAAGGCTCATGTAGCAGATCTCTTCCATCTATAACTTACGTGACACTTCTGCACCATCTCTGCTGCCAGGCACATGTCAAGACCTGGGCTACCCGCTCCGCACGAGCGTGCGACTTCTCCAGGCTTCGCTTGCAGTGGATAATATATTTCGAGGAGTCTGATTACCGTTAAGTAACCTAGATTTCTGTTTCTCCTTCTGTGATTGTAGTTTATTTTTGTCATGTTCTCCATACACCAGCCTCCTTCCTGCCTTTTCTTTCAATTGCTCTCGTTTTATTGCTTTTCTGAACGCTGAGCGGTAATTGTTTTGTTGGGTTTTTTTTTTTAAACAATTGAGTGGATTCCTGTGATTAGGCATTATTTTCTGATATCTGGCTGCTGTTCATGATGGTGGTGTAGAAAGCACAATTAATACCAGCTGGTTTTGCTAAGCAAGGCAAACAAAGGCAGAGAGTAGTAAAAAGACTTCAGAAAAGACCAAGCATATTTTAAATGTTTGGGGTTTTTTTTCCCCAAATATTCTAGTGCCAAGAGCTGCACTGATCGGAGGGTCTGTAATTACACAGAAACCCTTTCCAGCGGACACACACACATGCACACTTTTGCTCTCTGTTAATTTTGTCATGCTTTGAAAAGGTTAAAAAAGCTACATAATCAAAACCAATTTTGTTGTTAATAACTGGTTTTTTACATATGTTATAAGTAGGTTTCTTAATTTCAGATCCAAACTCAATTTGCTACTGTATTGCTGATCCCTTTTGCTTCTGACTCAGCTCTTCAGTACTATGGCCTTAGACTGTAACTTCAGTTTGAAGTTGGAAATGATCCTTGCAATTAAATGCCTGCAAATTAAACCAGATCTAGACAAGGGCTGTGAGCAGCTGCCCTCTGGTTTCTGGGTTGTCACTGGTGCTGGGACCTGCAGGCTGGAGACCGGTGGTGTTAGCCCAGGGGTTGCCTCACCTGGAGCCCGTGGTGGTGAATCCTTGGGTTTCTCTGTGCGTTCTCCTCGAAGCGTCTCACAGCAAGGGCGTTATTGCCATTGGTTTCCGTAGTCTTTGGATCAAAGCTTTATACATCGAGGTTTTTAATTTCCATGATCAGGTTCTGCCAAGACCAGCTCCAAGTCTTGCTCCTTGTGATACTGAAGACCCCGTGCAGACACTCAAAGGGGTTTCTCTCTTCTGCCAGTATCATTTGGCCACGTTTCTGACGTCTCCCAGCAAGCAGTGTATTGTCGCTCAGCTTGGTGCTCAGGTCATTAGCTCGTTGTCCATCTGTTGCCCACACCACGTACCCTGGAGGTGCCACGTACGTCGCTACTGCTGGCGTTGTCCTCCGCTGTTGACAGAATGGGCT